GCTCCTCTGTCCCCCCTGTTCTGTCCCCCCAGCTGCTCTGTCCCCCCTGCTGAAAGCCACGGTGGCTGCATTTCTCACCTTGGGCTTGAGAGGAACTTGAAGTTGCACCTGAAGGACCTGACCCCTTATTGCCTGCAGCTCATAAAGCACAGCCCAGCCACGCCGGCTCCCCAGCTTCGCCTGCTCTGGGAGTCAGTCCTCTGGTGGCACCTGTCGGCCTCCCCTGGTGGCCATGAGTGCCAAGGGCAGGTCTCACCCTGCCCCCTCAGCACCCGTCCCAGAGCCGGGCACAGGACTGGCACAGCCTCATTCACAGACCCAGTGTCTTCTGAGCAGGGACCCGGTGCTGCTGGGACACATCTGCCCCGAGGAGAGGCGAGCGCAGGCATCAGCCAGTCCATCGAGCGTGGAGTGCAGAGCGCTGAGAAAGAGCCTGCGTTGGGTGGATGGACAAAGGGAACGTGAAGTACAAAGGACGGAAGCAGCTGTGCTCAGGTGCCCTGACCCCCAGGCAGGCCCGCTGGCCTCCAGGACGGTGGCCTGCCCTCGGGCCCTGAGCCCGGGCCCTGAGCCCGAGGCTGTTGCCGCTGCCTGCCTGCCTAGCCCCCTGGTGCGGCCACGTTTCTGAGTTTTGCCAACAAGATGCGAACAGCAGTGTCGTAAGGTAGGTTTCCACCCCGTCCTGTCACTGGGCGGATGTAGGAGCGCCAGCTGCCGCCATAGGCAGTGAGGACAGGCCACCGGGGAGCTGTCCGGCTGCCGGAGGAGCGGTCCTGCCAGCCTCTGCAGTGGCCCAGGCTGTGGCCTGACCTCTAGGCCTGTTTTACGTGGAAGAGAAAGAAACATGGATCTAGTTTAGGGCTCGTTTCCCTGTTCCCACTGCTGCATGGAACCGAGTGCGAATGCCAGCTGGTTCTAGCACGGGCTACAAAGAGGAAAAAATGAAAAACCGGCCATTGGAACAAAACGAAATGTGTTCGAAGCCGAGCATCACAGACTTGTGCAGGATACAACTAATGAAGGAACCAAAAATGAAGAAAAGTTAAGCAATGAGACATCAATCCTATTTTGCCTATTAGTGTTCTTTTAAGGTTTATTTTTTTAAATATGTTTTTATTGATTTCAGAGAGGAAGGGAGAGGGAGAGAGAGCTAGAAACAGCAATGATGAGAATCATTGATCGGCTGCCTCCTGCACGCCCCCCGCTGGGAACTGAGCCTGCAAACCGGGTCATGTGTCCTGACCAGGAATTGAACCGTGACCTGGTTCACAGGTCAACTCTCAACCACTGAGCCACACTGGCCAGGGCCTCCCTGTTAGTTTTTTGAAAA